CCGAATCTATTAAAGCAATTGTATTAATTTTTTTAAAAAGTAAAATTCCAAGTTCAGATCGTTCCAGTAGAGAATCCTCCCAAATATCTGAGGAAGAAAGAATACCTACTCTAAGGAAACTCTTGTAAAATAAAAGAAGATATATTTCCCAACGCAGTTTATGAACTCAGAATTGTACTGAGAGACCAACCAGAGAGACATCATACACAAAAAGGACTGACCGTCATTCCCATGAACATAGGCATGAAAAAATCCATAACAAATCCTAGCAAATTGAATCCAGCAATATAGAAAAAGGAAAATGCATTATGACCAAGTAGATTTTTTCCTTAGGAATGCAAAGTTGTTTTTACATTTGAAAATCCGTTAATATAATTTAGTATATTAAACTAAAAAAGAAAAATGATATAATCATCTCAATAGATATGAAGTATTTGACAAGACTCAACACTCATTCATGGTAAAATTCAAAGTCACAAGAAACTATAAATAACAGGGAGCTTCCTCACCCTCAAAAAGGAGCTGATGTCTAGAGCCAACACTATATTTAATGAAGATCGAAAGTTTTCTCCTAAGATTTAGAACAACACAAAGATGTTTACTCTCGTCACTTACATTCAATGTTACACCATCAGTTCTAACCCTTGCAACAAGGTAAGAAAAAACAAAGGCACACATAAGAGAAGCAAAACTGTCTTTTATTTGCGTATGACATGACATGTTTGTATAAAACCTTGAATCTACAAAAATGTTACTGGAGTTGGAGACGCAGCCCAGTGGGAGAGTTCTTGTCTAGCATTCCAAGGCCCTGGGTTTTATCCCCAGCACTATCAAATAAGGTACTAATACAACAAATAGAAAGCAACTAGTGTGTGAGTAAAGTGAGAGAATAAGATTCAAGTTCAATATTAAAAGTCAATTGCATTTTTATATACTATCAAAAAATAATTGGGTTGATTCAGAGAGTAAAGAATTGCTAGGATGGCCTCCACTAGAACTTCAAAATTCTGCTCATAGAAATAGCCCATCAGGAGAATGAGAAAACAATTGACAGGCTAAGAGGAAATATTTATAAAACACACATGGGATAATGTTACCTCACAACAAAGAACTTTTAAAATTGAACAGTAAGAAAGCAAATAACCATCAGGTGTTGTGGCATATGCCTGTAATCCCAGCACTCAGGAGGCTGAGGCAGGAGGATAGTTGCGAGTTCGAGGCCAGCCTGGGTTACAAAGTGAGCTCAAAGCCAGCCTGAACTGCATAGGGAGACCCTGTCTCAAAAAGACAAAAAAAGAGAAAGCAAATAACTTTAATTAAAAATAGGCAAAAGATCTAAATGGGCACATCACTAAAGATTGCAGATGGCAAATAAGTATATGGTAGGCTGCTCAATATCACGTCATTAGGGAACTGCAGACTGCAGCAGCAGTGTCTACCACGGCACACCTACAGAATGGCCAAATGCAGCACACTGACACCACCAACTGCTGCAAGGATGTGGAGCAAAGGGAGCTCACGTTCACTGCTGGTGGGAATGCAGAGTGGTACAATCACACCAGAAGACAGTTTGCCAGGCACTCGCAAAACTAAACCATGTGATGTAGCAATTGCAAGAGTTAGAAAAAAATCAACTGGTGGTTGCCAGGGCTTAAGGGGGGAAAGAGGATGACGGGGTGGAGCACATAGGGTGTTTAGGAAAATGAAACAACTCTGTGTGATATCATACTGGGGCTACCTGTTGCGTACATTTCTAAAGCCCATAGGATGTACAACACCAAAACCGAATCCTGATATGCGCTATGGACTGCATGTGATCGTGTTGTGTCCTGTAGTTCGGATCTGAAATTGGTCCCTGCAATGACCCATGTGTTTGAAGCTCAATTCCCAGGTTGTCACTGCTGGTAGTTGGTCAAATCTTTAAGATGTGGGTCTAGTTTTAGGTCGCTGCAGTGCACCCTTCAAGGGGTGGTGGGACCCCACTCCCTTCCTCCTTCCTTTGTGTCTTGGCCGGGAGGTGAAGGGCTTTGCTCTGCCATATACTCCCAGACGTAATGAGCTGATTCACCACATGCCCAAAACCAGTGCAGCCGAGTGACCATGGACTGGGACCTTCAAAACTGTATGCCAAAGTAAACCTTACCTCTTTATAAGCTGTTTATCAGGTATTTTGTTACAGTAATTGAAAGCTGATTAACACAATGTGTCATTGTAGGTTCAATAACTATATCGTTACTGCTGTGGTATAGGATTTTGAAAGCGGCTATGGTGCATACATGGGAACAGGGCGTAATGGGAAATCTTTGAGCCTTCTTCCCAACTGCAAGCTGCAAACACGGAGGCTCAGCCAGTGGAGCTAAAGTGAGACCTACGGGGGTGGGCACCAGGGGTGTCTTAGTCACTTTCTTGTGGCTGAGACACCATACCCGACACCCAGAAATCAAGGGAAGAGAGGTTTGCTTTGGCTCAGTCTAGAGATGCTTCCGCTCACAGTTGGTTGGCTCCAAGGCAGGGCAGCATGGCAGAGGGCTGCTCCTGGCATGGCAGCAGGAAGCAGCAGAGATCAAGGGAGGGGGGCGGGAACGAGCCCTTCCAGGCCACGCCCCCAGTGAACACCTCCTCCAATCAGCTTCGCCTCCCAACATCGCCTTGAGCTATACGCCCGTCTGTGATAGTTAACTGATTGCCTCGATTTGAGTAAAAAACAGTAAACTGGGTCAGCACATTCTCAGTTCTCAGATGTGCCGAAGACAGAAGACCCAGGCTGGGAGTGAGCGGCAGCAAACAGGCTTGCCGCCAAACGGAACGGAAGCGAGACGCGGAAGGAAGGCCGCTTCTGCTTCTTCAGAGGAGCTCCAGTCTTCACCGTGACCTCGGCTGTCATCTCCCGGCTCCCAGAGCACGCCCTTCAGGCACAGACGAGCCCGCGGCACTGCAGGGAGCCCGCGGCCCCGACGGGACCCCTCGGGTCTCCAGCGCGCAGGCAGACCTTTTGCGGTCTTCCACTCTGTGCGGCGTTGTAAGCCGGTCGTGTGAATTCTTATATCTTTGCACACCTTGCATTAAGCCTATTTGTCTAGTGAGCGCTGACTGGTACCGCACCCTCGGACTAACCCACTGATAAGTCTCACGCCCTGCGCGGCAGTCACCTCCAGCAGCCCTAGGCTGGAGGGAATCTAGGGATAAACCGTAACAAGGCTGGAGCTGGATCCTTTCAAGCATCTGCAAAGAGCAAAAGGTGATTTGGAGGAATTTCCAGTGATGAACCAACAAGAAAATTTCCTAAACCACTTCGAAATTATCATTAGAATCTTCTATGAGTGTTTTTAAATTTAAACCACATTTGTGAAACAGAAGCAAATTATCTAAAAGTAGAAGAAGAACCTCTAAGCGAAAAGGGGAGGGGGTTGAAATTTTAAAAATTATGTTACTTCGCCTGATGGAGCCGTTCCTGTAAACCCAGGAGACGGGTTGCTTTGGGGAAGGCGAAGAGGGGGATGGGGAGCTGCTGTTTTCCTCAGCAAACCTGCTAGAACTAGTTGACATTTAAGGACAAAATGTGTTACCTTGATGAAGAATAAGAGTGTAATGGCCCGCGCCTTTCAATCCTACATCACAAGTGAATTGTTTTGTTTTGTTTTGTTTTGTTTTGTTTTGTTTTGTTTTGTTTTTTGAGACAGGGTCTCGCTATGTAGTTCAGGCTGGCCTTGGGCTCACTTTATGGCCCAGGCTGGTACAAGTGAATTTCTTTTTTTTTTTTTTTCCGGTACCGGGAGTCGAACTCACAACCTTGCACTTGCCAGGCAGGCGCTGTGCCACTGACCTAAATCCCCCCCCCAACAAGTGAATTTCTCAAAGCCCTATTCTGTGCAGGGACACAGCCCCAGCCTTGCCGCCGGGTTCCTTTACAGCTTCCACACTCTTCGCTTCACCCCAGGGCTCTTTCTGGTAAAAGACGGCTCCTTGGGAGAGGAGGATGAGGACAAGGACGAAAGCGCCGGCATCTCTTTCCTGTCTGAAAATGTTCAAATGGACTGAAACAGAAATTACAGAGGTAGGGGTAAATCCAAAGGCACCAACAGTCACAATAAACTAGAACGGCGCGCTCATGGCCCACGGTAAACAGAGATTGTCAGCCCGCAAGCGTCCACCGAAACAAGTCACTGCAGTTGCACTGTGCATGCGTGCACGCACACGCCGGGACGTTCACGCGGGAGCACAGCCCCCTCTGACGCCCGCTGCCCCTCCAGCCCGGCTGAGAAGCGGCCTCCTCTGCGAAGCCTCCCTGCCGACTTGCTTGTCCTTCTCTGCGTCCCTCTGCCCTCGCCCCAGGCCCCCTGCGGGGAGCCGCCGCGCGCGTACAGTGGGTGCGGGCGCCGCGCCGCTTGGCTCAGCGGGCCTGGGCCTTCACCCCGCGGGGCCTGTGTGTGCGCTTCGCCCAGCGGAGATGAGGGGCCTGTGTTGGGCCCCGGCGTCCCCTCGTGAGGTCGTGGAAGCCACGTGTACGAGCGTCACCTGCAGGCCGAGCCGTGCGGCGGGCCGCGGTGGGGCCGCGGGGCCGCAGCACAGGCGGGGAGGCGGGGGCGCGTGAAGCGCCGGGCGCCGCACCGCCTTCCCGGGCGCGCATTTGCAGCTTCCAGAGGCTGGAAGTCCGCGAGGCCCGCCCCGCTTCCTGTGATTCCTGCTCTTTATGCGGCTTCCTTGGGTGGTGCCGTGTTCCTCACCACAGGAAGAGCCGGCAGACGCAGCCTCGCACCATCTACCAGTGCGCTTTTCCTCCTCTGCGGCACGACCCCCCGCTGCCCGGTGTCCCTACTGCCCGGACACAGTGCCTGGTCACAGGGGGATTAATCCTTGCCGCCGCGTTAGTGAAGGAGGCGTGCTTACTCTAAGGCCGTAGGTGTGTCCGCACCCGTGCTGGGGGTCGCACACAGAACCTCCCAAGGTGGGAATGGACTTCCGCAAGCTCCCAGGCCCGTGGGCAAACGGCCTCACAGTACCTGCTCGAGATGCGGAGGCTCGGGCAGGTGCTCCGTGTGCGGAGATCTCGGTCTCCCTGCTGTCCGCGTACCTCTGCACATCACTCGATGTTAAGAAGTACTGTGTGGGTTTTTCTAGAAACCAAAAGTACAGGCAATTCTTCTGAGAGCTTGCTGATTACTCTGAGCACATTGTGTTTTAATTTTGATCTCTGGAAAATATCAAGAACAAGAAAAGAACTTCCACCCCCACCCCAGCAAAGCCCAGCTCCATAGGAAAAACAGCACTGAAATAATACAAACATCTTGGATCAACCCTCTTTTGAAAGTAAGAAACGCGCCTCGCCCTCTCAACAGGCCTGACGTCTGCACAGTTTGTTCGCCAAGCGAGTGGGATTTGGCAGCAGTCCTTGTAAACTCCAACCGCAGGAGGCCTCTGATTGAATTGAAATTGTTTCCTTCGGTCAGATGGGGGGGGCGCTCCCCTGCAGGATGTGAATTCACCGCGTGGCCGTGGGGTCAGGCTGGGGTGGTGGTCGGGCATGTAAGGGTGAATGCACACCCACTCACCCCCAAATCTCCAATGAGGCACTGACACTGCCCAGAAGAAACTTGGAAGGGTCTATCCATTCTCATCTATCCTCAATATTTTTTGAGTGATTAGAACTTAATCAGAGAGACAGGGCAAGGAAATTGGAAATGACAAAATGCAAAAGGCAAAACTGACAGTTTTCCACAAGTCGTTAACCTGGCCTCCTCTCTGGGCACACACACAGCCTGTAACATTCGAGGGGCCAGCGGCAATCCCAGGGATACCAGGCACATCCTCCTTCATGAGGACCAGAGACTGGGACAAGAAAGCAGGTTTGGGTGGGATGAAATTCCACGTTAGCTGGTGAGGTGCACACCTGAAACACCAGCTCTCTGAGAGGCTGACACAGTAGGATATCGAGTTCAAGCCCAGCCCAGGCAACTTCGCAACTTTCTCAGAGCCTGTCTCCAAAAATAAATAAAAACGCTGGGGATGGAGCTCAGTGCAAAGGCCATTGCTTCAATCCCCTGAAAAATAACCCCTCTTGCCTCTTGGTAGACCACTAAGACCATCCCTGCTTGTTCTTCTTGAGCAGAGTCCTATTACCCAAAGAAAAGATGCTATTTGCGTGGGGGGGGGTGAGTTTTCTTTCTGGTCACCAGGTCTTGGACTTGAACTTCTGCCCTGGAAAATGTGCCAGCCCCGGAATCCTCGCGGTGTTCCCAGTCGGGGGTTTGCGCAAGTGTTCCACAGAACAATGTGGTGGATCTTCGGATCAGCAGTTGGAGCACTGGTGGATAAGCTAAAGAACTATTTTGATTGTAAAACAAAAATGTATTACAAAATATAATGCACCACTTACACACATGTTTAAAGATAAAACACAAGGCTATGAAGAAATCTGCTGCCTGCAGTGGGGGCAATAAGCCATGCCCAAGACAGCCTGGCAGACACAAGCACTCTCTTCTTCCCCGCCAGAGAACTGGCGGAAGATTTAAGAAGTTCCGCCACCCCCCACAGAGGACCACAGGTCACCTTTCCCCACTAGTTATAGAACTTTACAGGCAAAAAAGCATCAGAGAAGTGCTTGCTGCTCCCTGTCATTTTACCAGCGGGGAAACAGGCCCAGGAGGCGAAGGGCTGGCCACATCTCCCCTGGGCCTGTGCTGCTGGCACTGGCCCCAGCACATGTGCCTGACCACCGCCGGAGGACTGAGGCTGCTGAGAGAAGATAGTCGCAGGTGCAGAGGGCGCCTGAGCACGTTCACCCTGTCACTCAGACATGCACGGAAATGAGCTTCGTTTTCCCTTTGTCTTCTAGTGGGTTTGGCCTCCTTGTCTAGGCAGTGAGACGGGAGTGAGAAATCCCCGCCTGCACTCTGGTGGTCTGCGGAGGTGGTGTCCAGGGCTCCCTCCCATGCTTGCTCGCTCCCGGCCAGCAGGGCGGCTGGTGTGCTGAGCAGCGCGGTGACCTGGGCGGCTGGGTGCCCGGACCTTCGGTCTGGCCCGCTGTGTGCTGGACCAGCTGCAGAGCGGCCGCTCAGACGCCCGCCGGGAATCATTAGCTTCAGTGCTTCCCGGGCACGGAGTTGGTGCCTGTTGCTCACACCCACAGCTGATAAACTTGCAGCCAATTCTTCCCCAGCCCAGCCAGGGCCTGTGGCCCTCCCCGTGGTCTAGGCCTCCTCCCAGCTTCACTGTTCCAAGTTTCGGCCCCATTCCCTGTCTGGTCTCGGGGCCCTGCAGCCCAGGCCTCCCACAGCAGCCTCTCGGAGACCCCAAGTCCCAACATGCACGGCGGGTGTAGGTCCAGGGCAGCGCTCTCCACCCAGCTCTGCTGCTCCCTGCCTGAACTGTGCTTAGTGGTGATGCTGAGCTCTAGCAGCATCACCTGCTCCCAAGACTCAGACAGGGAGCAGGGAAGAGCCCCCAGGCCTGGGTGATGCTCAACATATCTAGCTTAGCCACCCCTCTTGGGGCTGAAATCTGCAGAGGAGAGAGGAACCCACCTTAGCTCTCCTGCTTCCTGTCTCCCTCTTTCCCCTTGTCTTCTCTGAATACACTGGCACAGAGGCAAGAACCACCCTAGGAATTCACACTCTGATCTTTTGGACAAGAGTTTAAACTGTGGGGAAAACTTTATAACCTGGTGGAGAAAGCTGGCTATTTGAGGGACCAAAGAGGAATTTAGGGCAATCCTTTCTTCTTTTATTTTTATTTATTTTGGGGGATGAGCCAGGGTTTCACATGTAGTTTAGGTCTTGAATTCACTATGGCTTCCACGCTTGGCCTCCAACTTACAGTGATCCTCCTGCCTCAGCCTTCTGAGCACTGGGATCACAGGTATGTGCCTGGATCCTCTGGTTTTAAAGCTATTGCTGAGGCTCCCACTAGTCTGTCCTCCTGACTTGCTTTCACAGGGATGGGAAGAAAACAGGCGATGGAAGATAAAAAGAAGTAAATTAAAGTGCATTAACTTAATATTTGTAAAAATATTATCCCTATATTTGTAAAATATTAATACAGACACGTTTGTAAAACTTGTTTAAAAATACAAATAATACGTTTACAAACTTGGTCAAATTGTAAAGGGCATATGTAAATATCTAATGCGAAAGTTCGTTTTCTAAATGCTTCCTAATTTTCAACACTATTCAGTATTTTAATGAACAGCTTTTCCTGTACCTAGCCTCTGTCTACCCGGGACCAGATCATCTCAATAAGAGGTTGGAGTTTGTCTGTTGTTAGTGGAGTTCTAGTTTTTATTTGGGAAAAAAGTTAATTTCTTGATGGAAGGAGAAAGAAAACGTCATATAGATACGTAATGGAACACTGCAACATGCAGCCATTAAAAAAAAAAAAAACGAGATCTGGTCATTTCCAACAGCATGGTAGGGGCCGGAGGTCACAACACGAAGTGAAGCAAGCCAGGCGCAGAGCCGTGAGCGCCACATGACCTTACCATGTACAGGAGCAATGATTTGTGGGAGTGGAGAGCGGGGTGGTGCTTACCACAGGCTGGGGAGAGCAGGCGAGGGGGAGGCAGGGAGGGCTGGCCAAGGTACTAAGTTTTGGCCAGTGGGAAGAAGAAGTTCCCATGTGCTGGCACAGCAGGGTGACAGTATGATAAAGCACTACGCACTTTTGAAAGCTAGAAGGCTTTTGAATGTTTTCACTGTAAAGAAACAATACACGTTTGAGGAGCTAGATATGTTTACCCTACGTGAACATACACGTGTGCACGTGCATGGCGAGACCACAGGAGCCCGCGTGTGCCCAAGTTACATGCACCGTCAAATGTTTTAAAGTTGGCTGGGGACTTAGCACAGTGCCTGCCTGGCAAGCGCGAGGTCCTGCGTTTGATTCTCAGTCCCCAAAATAAATAAATAAATAAATAAAATAAAAATTTTTTAGAAAAACTTTAAAGCAAGTAATCGAAAGCTTGGGAGGAGAGATAGTTTCTCCTTTGTCCTTACCGGAAGGATACCTCTGCAGGTGAGTAACAGCTCCTGGTCTCTGACAGAGGCGGGATGGAGTTGTCCCCCAGTTTCACCCCTTGCTGGAAATTTGGAGGCAAATTTGTCCTGAGCGTAGCTTGACGGCCCCCAGCGCACCACAACCCGCAGCCCTCCCTGGTGGGCGGCGGGAGCTCTGGCCGCATGGCACAGCGTGGCACAGCGTGGCACAGCGTGGCGCAGCGTCTAGGACTCCGGCGGTGAGCTCCGGGCTCTGCTGGACCACGGCCCATGTTGGAGGCTCCGGCCTGGTCAGCCCCTGAGCGGGGACCTTCCTCTGTGCGACCCAGGGGCTTGGCTAACGGGCTGCTGCTCTTCGGCAACCTTGCTGGCAGAAAGCAAAAGGCCCTTCTGTTTTCCCGGATCACACACGCCCAGGAGCCTGCGAGCTCAGCAGGGAGGAGGAAGTGAGAACCCTGACCCTGGAGCTACCCCCAGCTCCACTGTTAACGGGGACCTTCCTTTAACTTTATGAGAAAAGTAAGTGTCACCCTTCTAGTATTCCGGGTCTCGAAGCAGTGCGTGCTCACCACACTCACGGGAAGAGTCTCTCGAAGTTACGAGGAGTTTGATTCGGCAACTGATGATCACGTGATGACAACTGAGGGTTCAGCTTCAGACACTTTTTAAAGAAATCTCTATCACGATGGATTTTTGTGAGCTTGGGCCTCTGTGTCTCCCGGGGAATTAGGAAGACAAGGACCGTTAAGGAACCCACTTGGGGATGCCCGGCGCTGATTCGTGAGGACGTGGCCTGAACATCGTGGAAACAGCGATGATCCCTGCGGTGAGTTTTGCCTTTGATGTCACTCTGTCCCTTCTCCCCACTCTTCTTCCTTTTTTCACGCAGCGCACATTTACGGACGGCCTCCTCCGCGCTAGGTGTCAAAATAAAAACAGAGTGGAAACTCCTGTCTGTGTGGGGACGCGGCCGCTGCACGCCCACAGAAGGCGGCAGACCTCCACGAGCACCATCGCTCACTCGGCGCTCAGGGACATTTCCAGAACCCGGCTGTGGACGCGGACACGCGGCCGGAGTCTCTTCTTGAATGCAGCTGCAAGCCAGCTGCGGGACTCGGACAGCCACACTCCCTGCCTCAGCTGCACCACCCGGAACCCCTTCGCAGAGGCCCAGGCCGAAGCCCTCCAGGGACAGGTGGCGGGGTTCTCCTGGAATGGCTGGTTGTAAATAGGCCACACCCTTGGGGTCTTCTCATTACTTTCACCGAGCTGATTAGAAGCCCAGCATTTAAGTTCTAGAACCAAGAGTTCGCACATGTGCCCCAGAAACCGGTCGCGCAGCGCTGCCTGGGACAGACCCAGGCACGGCAAGCAGGGGAGGGACAGGGGCAGGTGGGTGAGCTGGGCCCCCGCTGTCAGGTGTCGGCCTCGAGGCCCGCAGCACAAGCTCACGAAGTGAGGAGCCCTTCCAGCTGTCCTGGCTGTCCTCGCCCTGTGGTGCTCGGGGGTCTGTCCCACTCACCGCTGGGCTAGCCTCCGGTTAGGTGGGCACGTTCCAGAGTTTAAATGCATTTCTTTGACTCTTGGCCAAAATTCATGAATTTCGCTTTGAACTTGTATAAATATATGAAAAAGAAAACCTTTGTCTGGAGAAAAACAAAGGAAAAAGATATCCCTGCCATGCGACCAGGGTTCTGATGGATTCATCAGGACACTGTGACAGCACAGAGAACCGCCCCCAGCCCATTGCTCAAACTGGGGAGAATAATATTTTTAGCCAATAAAATTATGGCACAAACTTGGTAAGTATTCTAAAAACAGAAACTACTGAGTCACATCTCACAACTACTATACCGCAATTAATAGGTGATTGCTCAGTGCTAGGAGTAAGGTGGATCACCATGG